AAAGATTGGTGATCAGTAAAAAGCTGTACAGTAAGTTGGGTATACATGTATGTTGGCAGGAGAAATCTCATAGACTTCAATGTGAGGGGTTGGAGTCACTGTTCTGAGAAGTGTCTGCCCAAAAGTGATGTGTGTTCTTCAAATCTTTCTGGCAACGACTTAGTCTCAATTTTGCCAAATTGTAGGTAGATCATAGAATCATAGAATGGCTGGGGTTGGAAGGGACCCTAAAGATCATCCAGTTCCAACCCCCCTGCCCTGGGCAGGGACACCTCCCATCAGACCAGGTTGCTCAAAGCCCCATCCAGCCTGGCCTTGAACACCTCCAGGGATGGGGCATCCATGGCTCCTCTGGGCAACCTGTTCCAGTGTCTCACCATCCTCTCAGTAAAGAATTTATTCCTAATATCTAATCTAAATCTCCCCTCTTTCAGTTTAAAACCGTTCCCCCTCGTCCTATCGTTACACCCCCTGATAAAGAGCCCCTCTCCCTCTCTCCTGTAGCCCCCTTCAAGTACTGGAAGGGGCTCTAAGGTCTCCCTGGAGCCTTTTCTCCAGGCTGAACAACCGCAGCTCTCTCAGCCCTCTGAGCATCTTCATGGCCCTTCCTACGTTGAGGACTCCAAAGCTGGACACAGCAGATGTCTTGCTAAATTCCTGTTTAATGTTCATCTCTCTTCCCTTTATCTTAATTACTCTTAGCAAACAGCATTTATTGTAACAACTTGATGTCCTGGATGAGAACCACTGACCTTCAGGTTCAGAAACCTCAGCCTTCTTGGTATGAAATCGTGACTTCGTGTTTCTCCTTCTAACACAATTTCTTTTGGAACACAACTTTCTTTTGGAGGGACTTTGGTGGGGAAATACACAAACTTTGTCACACTCTTTCTAGCAAATTCACTGTCTCTTGGCCTTTACTGATCGGAAGTTTCTTTGAGGGACAGTATGCGAAGATGGTTGTAAGATGATGTTGATGGGATGGCTGTGGAACTTGAAGTGATGGTAGAACTTCAGTAGAGAGAGATGTTTGCTCTGAACCCTGTGAAAGCCTCGGCCAGACTCAAACTGTAGAAACCTGGCTGTTCACTGCTGGATTTTTCTATCAGGAAGAAAATTGTTCCAGTTAGTGAGTAGACATGAGGGATGTGTTTAAGGATTATTGTATCCATGCCACTTTGTACCTTACCAAAATCTGTCCATCACCACCTCATTTGTGTGCTTTTTTTCTAAAAAGAAAGAAAATAAATAAAGCTGCAGAATGTTTAATGTTAGTATGTAAGTTGTCCTAAAGCCTTTACCAAAACAAAGCAAAATAAATGCAGTCAGGAGTGCCCCTGAGGATGCGGCTCACGAGGCTCTCTGGGACCAAGTGTTTGGAACGCTAGAGAGAAAAAAAAAGCTGGTAAAGAAGTCTTTATACTTCTTGTTCAGGGGTTTTATTTTGTTTGGTAAATGAGATGGGAGAATGTCCTATATTGACAATAACTTGGAAAGCAGACTGGGTATGAACCTGGGCTAGCCAGGAACCCGGCGTTTACTGGATGTTTGTGTGTTAGAAGAGGGAAATGATGTAATGGGAAAGTGGGGACAGGGAGCTGTGCTATATTAAGACAAATACAGTCACTTTCCAATCCAAATAGAAATTCTCTGGAGCTTGGCATCTTAAAACTACTTCATTATATCATCTATTTGTGTGCGTGTTGGTTCCTTGCGTTCAGGAGCTTTCTGGTCTCTCAGCTGGGAATGTCTCTGTCAGCATAAAGAGCGGTACAAGGTGCTCAGCAGAGTGGGCTGGCTTCCTCCCGACACTGCTGTGAGGTGCTGCTGGTGCTTTGGGGGTTTTCTTTTGTCCTTTTGTTCCTTTTTTCCCTACCATTTTTTTTTTTCCCCTTTCCTCTTGCATCAGACCTTACTTAGCTCTGACTGAGGGCCACGTGCTGGGGCTGCCCCAGCCTGTCCTCTGTCCTGTGCTGGTTTTATCAGATCAGATCAGATCTGCTCAACACCCTGCAGGATGAAATCCCAGCAGCCTGGAAGCTCTGCGTTGCTGTGACGGACAACGTGGTCTTCCCTGTGAAAAGCTCTGTCCTTGAAAAGGCTAGAACTCAATGCTTGATATTCTCGAGCATCTGTTGAGCTTTTGGCAACTTGTTTGATTTTTCCATCAAGATATCCTCTTACTGGTGATGGCAACTGTCCTCAGGAGGGGAGAGAGATAGGAAAGCTGTTACAGTTAATTCTTTCACCAAGTTCCATGCAGATACATCTTAATTTCTTCTCCAAGAAGTTTTGAATTCTACCTTCTGTGGGGAAGAACAAATCTTTTGTCTTCTCCGAGTCTAGGGTCTTTACACTCAGGGCATGCTCTTCAGGCAGCAAGTTCTGCAGAGAGCTCCCAGTGTGGTTGAACTGGTGTTTCATGGCTATTGGCATTCCCAGACAGAGGAAAGACAGTGGGATGTTCCTTTCCAAGGCCCCTGAGGGAAAGACAGTGGGATGTTCCTTTCCAAGGCCACTAGAAGGCCCCTGAGCCTGAAACCCAAAGCTCTGGAGGCAGCTGCAGCATTGCCATGGTCCCACCCCTGTTGCAGTTATTTAAGGAAACAAATTGAACCAGTGCAGGGGGGAAAAAAGGGAAATAAAGATCTTCTCTTCCTGCACATCTCCACATGCCTGTGGCAATTAAAGAATTCTAAAAAGTAATGGAAGAGTTCTTACCCCTTTCTTCTAGTAGAGAGGGGATTAAATTGCTTATAACCCAGGTGAGTGTCACATTTTGAGTTAATAGGGTTGTTGGTTTTTTTTTAAATCAACCCTCTATGAAAACTTTGAAGTTCTCCTCTTGTACATGCATTGAAACAAGTCTTGAGGCTTCAAACAACCTTAATTTTTGTCTGAGCCCAGAAATTGAGCATTCTCACGTGTAAGTTGTGGAAGTTTTGAACAGGGAAGCAGGCTCTGAAAACGCGTGTGACAAATGGGCTGCAACAGGCACCTCTGCTTTTATTGTAAAACATGGCTCAAGATTTCCTTCTGACACTATTTCACAATTAAGGCACGTTGCTAAAGAAATCAGTGGGGCTGTCAGAAAAGGTTCAAATGCCCACTCTAGTGAGGGAACAGCTGTGATTTTTCTTTGAGTATAAAATACTTAAATATCTTTCAAAAAGAAAGGCTCCAAAAAGAGCGAGCGCCTTAATGCCATCCCCAAGAAGTTGAGATCCCAGCCTCTCCTAAGCCTTCAGTTCACTGTTTACAGCTCTCCACAGGCAGAGGACATTAAAACTGTGTCCTGGATGGGTGCTTCAACCTTTGAACTGTGGCTGGAGGACACAACTTGAGTTTCCCCTCATTTTTACAGAATGGGGATTTTGGGGTTTGGGGTTGGCTTTTTTTGGAAATGAAATGATGTTGTAAAGGCTGAACATCAGGTACCACTCACCTGTACCTGAAGGAGGATGTAAAACAAGTCCTGCCCTCAGCACGTCCCTTGGCTAAGTCTAAATGGCTCCTTACTGATATCTTTAAAGAATTGGTACTGTTAAGTAGGTAACTCTGCTAATTAGGACATAATCTGACCTAGGGTCCTTGTTCCACAGCAGGTGCTTAAAAATTAGGTTCAGGTATTCCAACTCAATTTAAAAAATGCAAATAAATTTCAGTAACCACTCTATGTAGTAGTTTTTAAGAAGAGATAAGGACTTCATTTAAAAATTTGTTGGAAAGCTTTTCTTTTTTTGGTCCAATTTTAAAAACTAAGCCCTGCCAGAGCAATTTCTGGCTGAAGAAATGCTCAGGGTACTGCATCAATGTAATAGCTGAAATGCTGAACCAAGGGAAAGTATTTTCATTTTGTAGCAAAAGCTCTGTGAAGAACTTCCAGCTAAACAATTAAACAGCTGATACACAGCACTTCAGCCCTTAGGACAACTATATGATGTCCTCGCACGGTTCTTCTGCTGATCACAGCAGCACATTTAACACCAACTGCTCTGTCTTGGTGCTTCTTTGCATGGCAACTGCTCAAGCAACGGTTTCCTTCTAAAAGTTCAGTACAGGCTGCACAAAAAAACAATCCCAAACAACCCACCCCATCCAAAAGCTGAAGAATGACCATCTCTATGGCAACCAAAGCACTTGGTGTGCTCTGCCCTATGTAAATTGGCACAAATTTGCAAATGAAGTTAGTGCAATCAGGGTGCAAGTAATTTATGTAACTAGAGCCAGTACAGAATATTCCAGGTGTAACATTCAAACCATTGTCTGTTGCTAATTTTTATTGCAGGAGGAAGATCGTATAGAGACAGCAATACTGGTAGGAAAAGACACACAAATGGCTGGCTGCAGTGGCCTGTCTCACCCATGGTGATAGGGTAATCAGGTGACTAATGAGCTTGTCAGGTTGATTACCCATCAGAGCTAACACCCAATGTATGGGTGGGCAGGGAGGGAAGAACAGGAGATGACACCTTCACCTCTTGTGTAACTTCCCCCTCAGGTGATGTGTTGGTGATGAGCTGAGCTAGAGGCTGCTGCCACCAGCAGAAAGGAAATTAATCTCTTTTCACCCACTAATTTTTCTGCTAGTTGAAGTTAATACCAGTATTTTATGAGGAGAGCTAGTTGACAGCAGGATTTCAGATGTCCTGGCATAAGCATGCAGGCTCCAGAAGACAGCACTGCTGAGAGCACTGTTTAGAGCGACACACAAGATGTGGACCCCTCCTGAGACAGAGCAGCATTTAATCCAGTTACTCACACCAAGGGGCAAACCTGACCTACCACCCAGCCATAAAGCAGTACAACAGGAACAAAACAACTGCACAGCTTCCTGCCACAGTGAGACACTTAATCAAGTGGTAGTGAGTCTTCTGGAAGACTGTCATCTCTCCACACAGGTTTTAGCGCATAAGGGTTTTACAAGATTATTACCTGATTTAAGGTCCCGAAGTTGGCTAGTTTGAGTGTACTTATTCAATAAGTCTCCATAGAGAAGCTTTGAATTCAACAGTTTATTTATAATTGTAAAAGCATGAATGTTACATATGTAGAGTAATTGCATATTTGTTTGAATCGTACCTACTCAGAAGATCTGTGTGTGCAAAGACAAGACAGTCATGCTTAGATTTCCCCCCAGTAGTCTGTTGCTTTACGCTTTATTCCCCTCTTCAGTTCAGTAAGATTTCCATAGAAACAGTGAGGAAATATAGATATATAATAGCTAGAGTTATTGAAGTGTATGAAGACAGTTTGACAACATCACACAGGCCCTTCAGAACTACTGAAGGTAGAGGTCTGCCTCATATTTAAAAGGGCAGAGACTGGAGATGAGGCAAGAGTTACAGCAAAAAGGCAACAAGCCTAGTTACAGTTCACTCAAACCATTAGGATTTACAGCTCGTTATGAACAAGAGAATTAGTGTCAACTTTATCACATCATTCCAGAAAGTATCAATGGGTTATGTATACACACACATTTAAAAAAACCCCACACATGTATGTATATATGTTTTTTAAATAAGGCAGGTATTTATTTCAGGCTTTTAAAACATTTTTCCAGCCCCCTTTCCTAGTAATACAGCCTATGGTGCCATTTTATTGCTAAAGAAAGCGTACCATCATTGCAAGCAGAACAGCATCAGCACTGGCTTTAGGCAGCAGTCCAGTTGAGTTAAGAAGGTTCAAGACATACATTATTACTATGGAAGAATATTACTGTTACAGAAATACAGAAGACTAGTTCAATTCTATTTAGATCGCACCAAATCATTCTCTTGACATAGTCTGTAGTTAACAGCGTACACTACAAAGCAGAACAGCACCATTTTGGAGCAACAGAAAGAGATACCTAAAATACTATTTCCCCATCTTTTACTAAGTTGTTATATTAAAAAAATACACAAGGGAAGGATAGGGCGGAACAGACTTCATCTGCTGCTCTAACAATGCTTTCTTCTGTAAGAAAGGATGCAGGACTTTTGAGCTCATCCAAAAGTAAATCCTAATACGAATGAATATGCACGCCATTATCTTTGCGTAACTAATATAAGTTACTCATTAGCATGACTTACAAGGTGCACTCCCGAAGTTTTTTGTCAGCCTGCTTCAAGGAGATCCAGGTGTTCAACATGTTTGACCGCAGTTTGGCCCACACCAAGTGGTTGTTTAACCCAAATATCTGGGCAGCAAACTGGGCAGCTCCTTCGGGTGACAGAGTAGTAGGACAGCTGAGACCTGCGGAGAAGAGAGTGCCACTTACCAAAGCGTATTTATTTTATAGCCAAACAAAACACTGCCTCTGAAGAACAATTTAAGACAACATTTGTTTCAGCCTCCAGGAGCCACATGATCTAGTTTTAAAGCTACTGAAGTGTCATGCATTCCACTACTTCTAATGTGACTGCTCCATGGCACATTAAACCAGAAGGCAGCAAACTAAATGACTGTCCTTACACAGAGGTAAGAGCCTGCTGGGTCTCCTAGTTGCCAAGCATCCATTCAAGTCATAAGTGTCATACAGGTAGCAATGCACTGAAGTAGTAGCTAAGAATTAATCTCTTCCCTACACTAATTGTGGAGAAAGATATTTTTTGATCATAAGGAAAATGCAGCTCTATAACTGAACAAACTTCCAATTATTTAAATCCCCATTAATACTAATTCTAATTTCCAACTAGAATGTTCAGCAAGCATAAACCAAGGTTTCTATCTTTCCTAAAGATTGCACCTCTGTAATCTTTGCTCTGTTTATTGGGCTTTTTTGCCATCAAAGTCAGAAGTACCATGCAAGATATTGCTAAAAGACTTTGTTCAGTACAGATCCAACTACTTCTCCAATGTTTTGCCGTGTGTGTTGTACACATTACGTACACTAGAACAACAAAACCAGAGCTAGGTCAGAAAAACAGCGTTAAGTTGAAGATCATCTTACCGCTGGGTAGTCTGAGAGAGGACCACACATCCTGAGTGCCCCAGTCAGCTGAGAGGGGAGGACAGTTGACCACCGGGTAAGCGGTGTTACCCGACATCACCGGCCCCAAACCGTTGCTTCTGCCAGCGACGGCAACAAACACCGTTGGGATTCCATCTCCTGGGAGGGAAACAAGATGTTCAGAAATAAGCAATCCACCTTGTCCTGTACCACTTGCTTTTGTGGGAACCTTTACCCGAGTCCACAGTTCTGTTTGTAGTTATTTTGTCAATTCCACTACATAGCACTAGATTTTTTTTGTGTGTCTAACTATCCCTTTTACAGAAACCTATTCTAAGTCTTGCAACCTTAAGTCTCAGATGCCAGTTACCACAACTGAAATTAGCATGTACTTCCCCTCAGAGGCAGAGTAAGACTAGAGGAATCGGTGCTGCTTAGCTTTGTAGGGAACAAGCCATTAAACCTCTGGCATCTTTAAGTGCTCCTCTCCTTAAATCTTACGCAGTTCACCTCAAAATAAGTGTTTCTCAACTATGGTTACCACATCTGCGGTTTCACTAAGTAGAAAGTATACTCCTACAAAAATAGTTTTCTCTCTCCTCTGCTAGGCTATAAACACTTTTGAAGAGATGTCAAGTTTTCTTAGTAAAGATAAGAAATTAAATCAAGTATCTTTTTCTCATAGCATCTCAAATAATGAAGAAGAATGTTTTTATGAAACAGGCAGGAAAATATGAGGAGAGCAACATCTGCCTTGTAAATAACAAATAACAATATTCAGAGTTGGCTACAGAAACTACCACTCCCTGTTTCAGAAGGGCCAGCATCCCCAGCAAGATGCTACAATAAGTTTATTGACATGATCACAGCTTGGACAAAGAAGTTCCAGTACAGGGATAGATGCAGAGGTTAGACTTTGAGCAATGAAGTTGTGGTTGGGCAGCAGGACAATACATTACTCCGTAACTGCTTAGTGCAGTCTGTAACATGAACATGACAGTTTCAGTGCAAATCAGTAGTTCTTTGGTATTTACCTTCATATTCTGCTTTGATCCTCAGGGTTTCATCTGGCCCTTTGTGAGCAGAGGTCACTCTTAACTCACAAGGAATTCCAAAGGCTGCACATGCCTTTTTTATTTTCTCACAGTGACTGATGTCAGAAGTGGATCCCATCAACACCACAACTCTACCTTGGCTCTTTGTTTTCAGAAGCAACTAGGGAAAAAAGTGAAAGGAAAGAAAAGCAGTCACCAGACTGAGTATGTGCAATTATTAGAGTCTAGATATGTTGTTCATAAAAACAGATACCTCCACTCTTTCTGCAACCCATTCGAAGTTTCTCTTAACCATTTGCAGGGCTTCAGGAGTCACCTCCTTCAGGTCTCTGTAGGACTGAAAAGAAGAACAGAAAAATACTGACATTAATGCGTTTTGGGTATACAAAGGACTCATTTTGCCTCCGTAATTGGCAAGAATACCCCAATTGAAATATTTATGCAGTTTCTAGCAATTCCACAGAAAGGAGACCAAAGATTAGTACAGATATAGGAGAGAGTGGATATAGAAGCAAGGAAGAGCTATTTAATAAGGAATCATCTCAGTAGGTGTAGATAACCTTCTACATTACAACTCATGGCCATTTGCAACACAAAAGGCTTTTAGCCAGAAGGGTATCAAGGTTTTGGAAACTTCCTAAAGAGTAAGTTTAAGGAAAGACATACAAATTCAGTTTTAAGAGTGTTGTAATGCCATGATTGCCTGCAGTAGCACTGCACTAGCCAGCCTAGGTTCTGCATGATGTTATCGTGTACCTTATTTTAGGGAGATGAGCAGAAGCGCTGTCAGAGCAAATTCACTCAAGCATGCTGCTACATAATTCAGGTAAACAGAGCAGTTCTGCTTTCTAATTTAAAAGTAATACCCCTCTGCCCACACACACACTTTAAAATCTTCCCCTGTGGCTTACATCCACTTTCTCTCGCAGGGTCTCTGTTACTAGTCTCAATGACTGTCACAGAAGCTCCATGGCAGCAGCATTCCCAAACCAGTTCTTGACAAGTGTAGTTGTTAGAGTTTAAATGTAGGACAAGTTTTATGTCTTATAAAAACTTATGTTTGCTGCCCTCATATGTGGTCACAATCTGTTAGTAATGCTTAGAGACAATCAACTACTGAATTCAAGCTTAACCAAAATAAATAATGAAGAAAAGCGTCCTTCCTGCAGATTCCTCTTATGTGTCCCCAGATCTTTACTAGTAGAGGATACTACTCTGAATAAACAGAGAAACTTGCAGGCAGACCTGGGAGCCAAAGCTTCTATTTTTCCTACTGACTTGTCCAAATATTTAGGATCTGCACGTGTCAGAAATTCTTACTACCCCTGTAAGCCCACGTTTCACTACAATAGCTGCAGCCAATAGTGCTGTTGGGCATTCCTACTGAAGATAGGCAGGCAGAGGATTTATTTCTACCATAAATCAGATAATCAACTACATGAGAACAGGATTGGGCACTAGGTACCCTATAAGCTACTCTGTAACAAAATAAGACCATCTAGAAAAAGCCACCTAGAAAGCAGAGGTGTAACTGCGGGGTTTAGTTTTTTTATTCTGCTTTCCAACTGACTTAGAAGGTAAAGAATAAAACAGTACCTGTTTGTCCTTCTGCTGGCTTCTGTCTCCTGATGGCCACAGTCTCCATGAATCATTATCAATAACATCAGCGAGAACAATTTCTTTTGTCAGAACATTAACACCAAATTCAATCTAAAAAGACAATCAGAATCCTATTTTAGGAACTATAGGGTGATATATATTTCCTGTCAAAAACAGGATCATGAGAAATCAGATTCTTATACCTTCAGGTCTACCAGAGTGCAGTTTTGGGGCTGCCATGCTTTTTCCAGGATCTCAAAAATAGCTTGAGTAGAACGAGCCATAATATCCACTTCGGTCTGGCCAATACTAAGTCCACCAAAACAGAATTTTGCTTCAATTAGCTGCTCCTCAGACCACTGTGGATCATTATTAGCATCATCCTGTGAAGAAAACCAAAATCATGTAATTGATGCTTGCTATAAGAGGAAAATAACAGTTAAAAGATCATACTAGGTTTTGGGTCGTTTTCAAAAAACTAATACAGGCTTCAAACTAGGATTTTTTGATTATCACTAAGAAAAGTGACAGCAACATTGCAAACGCTTGCTGTAAAACCTGAACGTCTTTAAAAGCCCTTCAAGTTCAGAGAGTGCCACAACAGTGACAGGGTACACTACAAACAACACAATTGACAAAACACGTGTTTTGGTGCCCATTCCCAAAGGAGCTCAGAATCTTAAGTGACTGGCTAACTACTCACTATGCACATACTGTTTATTTCAATTTCTTTAAGTATATCAACACATCCATTTCAGCCAATACTATAGGCTTATGCCTAAAAAGTCCTTATACCTTATAAATAAAACATTTTTATATTTTATGTACAGTTTGGCTTGTTATTCTTTGCTGGCCCTGTAATCCAGTATTACATTATACACACTTTAGACAAATCAGCTGTTGGACAAGAATACAAGAAAACATTAGGATGGCAGAACTACCAATACTATGAAGATTGGCCAGCAACTAGTGCTACTTGCTCCTATTTGTCAGAATTTAAAAGGAGATAATACAGAGTTATAACTCTGTTTGATTAACATCACAGGAAAGGGAAGGAAACTTACCTTGTAGAACATCTCGATTTTGGGTGGGTAAAACTTATAGCCTTCTTTGACACCGGGGTTTCTTTTGAGGAAGGAGCCAGTAGCAATTCTTCTGCACACCCATTCAATGGGGATCATTTCACAGTGAGCTGCTATGAACGCTGTGTCACTCTGTTTCCTGACAAAAGCTGTTTTGATTCCTAAATATAAAGATGGCAGCTTAGTTCCAGTACTCCACAGCTGACACAAGAGTTGAACATCTTTGATTTCAAGTACAACTGAATTTTGTTTTCCCTGGACTTAAGGGACAAACTGAATCTCTTGACGGTATTTTAAGCCCACTCTGGCCTTGCAGAAGGCAATCACTGCAGTTATCTTCTACAAGTCATTAGTTTTGCCAATTTTATCATACAATGCTTGCTTGTAGATCAGAACCTTATGCTCTGGTCAGAAATCCAATTCTTGCAAATGATTTTTTTTTACATTTTTTTTAAATAATAATCTATCCCTCCAAATGGTATGTTTTTAAACAAAAGTTAGGAGCAACCAAGTACCAAATCATAGTCTCTGGTGGAAGAGCCATTATACATGGAATAGTAATCGGAAGCTTCAAAGGAATTAGGGAACATGCCAGTCTTTACTACTTTGTTTAATAAAGGAGGATGGGATGGGGAAGAGAATGACCTGGTTCTTCCTTTCATTAAAAAAATAACATTTATTTAGGGCACTAGATCTTAGTGATTTGTTAGGCAAAATGCCATAAGACTCAGAAGCACATGCACACACAAAAACCTGCTGCAGCAAGTCAAGCTTCTGACATAATTCTAAGGCTGCCCCATATTAAACAGGGACAGCCAACATGTACAGATAGGCACTCTCTAAGTGGAAAACAGCTTTTTTTTTTCCCCCCCCATTTCACTTTTGAGGAAAGTCCCATCTTTCTCCCCCCAGGGCAAGACAACTGCCAAATCCAATTGGCATCTGCCAGTAACAGAAGATAAAGGAGCTGCATCCAGTCCAACCAAGAAGTAGCTCTACTCTGTTCCACTTCCAGAGCCACAAAGGAAGAATTAAAGGAAGAAGTCTTAAAACACAGTATTTACATTTGACTCTTGAGATTTTGTTGCACTGCCCTCAAGGGCAGAATGATTTAAGTAATCAACTGCCCATTAAGTCTTCTAAATCCAGTCATTAAGGCCCCCTGCTGTGGTTTACTACTACATTTTTTCTTCAGCATAGATGCATGCTTTTGAGGGGCTGACATTAGCTCTATTATAAAAGAAAGAAATTTTAACAGGACTTTGTAAATGATCACCTTTCAAAGAGCAGGTTAAGAAGAGTTGCACAAAGCAAACAACCCATGATAAGGCATTCACGTTATCTGTAATTTATGCCAGTCAAATAGGCAAACTGGAGAAGAACCCAGAGAGCTCTCCTCTTGCTTTGAAATGCAGCTGTAGTTTACATATTTTTCCACAGCACCTGAAGTTACAAGCCATTTAAGAACCTTTGAGGTCTACAGCATGGCTTCCTCGCATTTGAAATTCATATCTGTAGGATATTTAATACTTTGATTGTTATCTTAACTATTGCCATTTAAGAATTAGGCAAAATAACTCATTAATTATTCCTAAATGAAAATTGGTAGTTTTAATCAACTGCAAATATAATCAGAAAGACCTTGGAGGCTTCTTTGTACTGTATGCACAATCGGCTTCCCAAGAAAGCCAGTGACTGAGGACTGTACTGAGTGACTCGATATATTTTTATCTCAGCTCATATTTTAACAGCCACTTGCACAGAAACATATGTAGATACAGCTTTATTGAAACCATCTTTCTCTTCCCCACCTATGAGAAACGTGCCAGGACTTTACTGGTTGACTGACTGAGAACTATTACTTCACCTTATAACAGATAACATAACTTTTAGAGTATTTCAGCAGTTATTTGAAGCAGTCTTTGTTTTGCAGTTTGCAAACTTCTCAAAGACACTTCAAAACACTTTCTCGAGGCAAAGATACTAGCTCCATTTTTGGAAGCATGGTGCAAAACTTACTTGAGTGACCCAAGTTAGTGATGCACTCCGTGAAAGCTCACTTCTAGCACCAGAAATATTTTGAGTCTTTTAAAATAAACATTAAGTACCAGACAGACTCAATACAGACCAAAATACGCATTTGCGATATAGTCCTCCTAAGTGTTAAGTACAAAGGGTACAGAAATTTTAGATTGATTTGGCATATAAAACTGAGAAAAAAAGGTAAAAGGATGCTCCAATTTTATCTTTTAACATTCAGACACAAATTTCACACAGTCTGTTAGCGCCACTCCTTTGCAGTGATTTCTATGCAGACAGATGTAATAAAAAAGGGGAAACGGATCTAGTTCAGCGAGGAGGGGGCACGTGGTGGGGAAGAAGGGACAAGAGCAGAGGGGAGGATGAGAAGGCTGTCCAAACAGCCAGAAGAAAGGACTACAGTGTTATCTGCGATTAAGAGATTACTTCAGAGAGTCTCACGTCCCAAATGAGCAAGTCGCCCGCCCTGCTCTGGAGTACCAGAGGGAAAAGCGCAACTAAAATCTACTAGAAGAGACACACCAGAGCCTCTAGACAGGATAAACCGATACACAGAAGCAATGCAGCTTTAAGACAAGATCTGCGAGACACAGGCGAGTCCTTGTGCCATACACAAGACCCGTGACACACCTCCGAGGTACTCACCCGCCTCCTGGAGGAGCTGGAACACGCAGCTGGTGGTGGTGTTGGAAATGGCAGCCTTCCCCTCCATGCGGTCCTTCCTGGCCGCGTTCCCCGCCGTTATTTGGTCTTTCGACTGCATGAGGACGCACCCCGGCATGTCCGGCAGCTCGTACACTTCCTTCGTCTTACCTTCGTTAACTTTCTTACCGAGTTTCAGGTCTACAGAAGTTTAACGACACGGAAGTTTTAGCCTGATCTAAGTTTGTTTGGTTTGGTTTCTTTTCACTTCAGCCCCAAATCCCGCGTGCAAAGCGATACTCAGGGAACATCCCCCCCCCAACCTCCCCTCAGACACGGTCAGTGACCACGAAGCGCGCGCTAATTCCCCCTCACACACACCCCCCGCCAACGACCGTTACCGGCCTCCCCTCAGCGCCCAACGGCCGCGGCGCGCGGGCCGCCCCCCTCACCCGCCGGGCGTTACCTGATGCTGCGGGGGCCATGGCGGCGGCGGCGGGAGCGGTGGGAGCAGGCACCTAGGAGCAGAGAAGAGAGAGCCTCACCACACACGGCCGGGCCGGGCCCCGCCGCCGGGGTAAGAAGGGGTCGGCGGAAGGGGCGGGCGGGCGGAGGTACCGGCGCCGCC